TGGTAAGAATTTAAATCAAGTACCGTTAAGTTCTACAACTTTTTTTCAACTGTTTCAAAAGTTACTTAACCTGTTTTAGTTCTTTTCCATTTTGATAATATGTTTTAGAGTCAGCTTGTTAATTTCCACAGCAATGCCTTCTGAGATTTTGATTAAGATTGTGCTGCCGGGGGATCCCTGGGTGGCTCAGCAGTTTCGCGCCTGCCTTTGGCCCAGGGCACGATCCTGGAGTCCCGGGACCGAGTCCCATGTCGGGCTCCCGGCATGGAGCCTGCTTCTCCCTCTGCCTGTGTCTCTGCCTCTCTCTCTATGTCTATCATAAATCAATCAGTCAATCTTTAAATAAAGAAAAGATTGTGCTGCTGAATCTGTAAGTCATCTTGGGGAGAAGTGACATCTTAATAATTAGTTTGTAATGTGATATATTTATCTGCTTATCTAGACCTTCTCTAAATTTTCATAGCAATATTTTATATTTTCATACCACAGGTTTTACATATATTTGTTAAGCTTAACTTTGAGTAATTCATGGTTTTAGATGCTGTGTGTTCTAAATCTTTAAGCATTTAAAAAACATTTTCGTGTATTGATTGCTAATGCTTAGAAACACAGTTGATTTTTGTATGTCTGGAATTCTGTGGACTCTCTAAATCCATTCCATCTTTTTTTTTTTTTTTTTTATAGATTCCTTAGGATTTTCTACATAGGTGATCATGTTGTCTCCTAATAGAGACAGTTTTACTGTTTCCTTTCATTCTGAATGCCATTTATTTGTTTTCCTTTTTGCGTTGGTTGGGACCTAGAGTGAAATTCTAAAGTAGTGATAATGGGCGTTCTTGCCTTTGGGGGTGCCTGGGTGGCTCACTCGGTTAAGTGTGTGCCTGGCTCAGGTCATGATCCCAGGGTCCTGAGATTGAACCCTGAGTCAGGCTCCCTGCTCAGCAAGGAGTCTGCTTCTCTTCCCTCTGCCCCTCCCCCCTGCTCATGCTCTTTCTCATTTTTACTCTCACTTGTTCTCTCAAATAAATAAAACCTTTAAAACAAAGCACTGAAAGTCTTTACCATTATGAATGATGTTAGCTATATGCTTTTCGTTTTTTTTTTTTTTTTTTAAGATTTTATTTATTCATTCATGAGAGAGACAGTCATAGAGGCAGAGACATAGGCAGAGGGAGAAGCAGGCTCCCCAAGGGGATCCCTATGCGGGACTCTATCCTGGGACTCTGGGATCATGACCTGAGCCAAAGGCAGATGCTCAGCCACTGAGCCACCCGGGTGCCCCACTATATGCTTTTCATAGAAACCCTCTATTAGGTAGAAGGAATTACTTTTGTTACTTAAGTTTTTTGAGTGCTTTTATCTTGTTGAATTTTGTCATTTTTTTTTCATTTCTTGAGAATCATTGGTGTCTTTTTCTGTTAATATGATAGATTGCATTGATTGATCTTCAAATGTTAAAAGAGTCTTGCATTCTTGATACAACTCCCACTTGGTTGTGATGTATTTTTTAGATGTAGGTAATATATTTGTTACGGAATTTGGGGCCTATAATCACTGGGGAGTTTGGATTGTAATTTTTTTCTTTTTTTTTTTAATGTTTTTGTTTTTGGTATCAGGCTAATGCTGGCTGTATAAAATGAGTCAGGCTTTGTTCTTTCCTCCATTTTCTAAAAGACTCTATGTAGAATTAATATCATTTCTATTCTAAATGTCTGCTAGAATTCACCAGTAGGAACCATTTAGACCTGGGGTTTTCTTTGTTTTAAATACTTAAATGGGAATATTTAAAATAGCAAATTCAATTTCTTTAACAGATGCAAGGCTACTCAGGTTTTCTACATGCTGTTGTGTTTTTCCCGCCTTTCAAGGAATTTGTTCATTTTATTTAAGCTGTTGAATTTATAGATGTAAAGTTGTTTATAGTATTCCCTTATCCTTTTAAACATCTGTAGGATCTAAGGTAATATTTCCATTTTCAAAGAACCAGGTATTGATTTCATTGTTCTTTATTCTGTTTCATTGACTTCCCCTCTTTATCTCTTTGCTACTGTTTACTTTAGGCTTAATTTGTTCTTTATCTGGTTTACGATTGTAGCTTAAATTGTTGTAAATGAGATTATTTATGAAGCAATACTGGCTATGAGTTGATAATTGTTAAAGGTAGGTAAGTGATGGATACCTGGAGTGATAATTCATTATACTATTATTTAAATTCATGTATATATTTGACACTTTATATAATACTTTAAATATTTACATAAAGCAAATGAGAGGCTCTTGGGTGGCTCAGTTCGTTAAGTGACCAACTCTTGATCTCAGCTCAGGTCTTGATCTTAGGGTTGTAGGTTCAAGCCCTGTGTTGGCCTCCACACTGAGGGTAGAGCCTACTTAATGAATAAGTAAGTAAATAACACATTAATAAACCTTAATGCATAGTAACTTTTCAAATTTATATGCCTATTGACATCCATTTTTACCTGATAGTATCTGTTTCATTAATTGGTAAGCTACTTTTAGGCTGGCTCTATAGAATTCCTCAATAATTAGGACTTTTTAGGAATTTTAGTGGTTCTTCATGTTTATGGGTGGGGGAAGAAAAGTGACATGAATCTTGATGGTATAAGCTTTTGAAGAAATTGGGATACCTCACGAATAATTAAAGGGGAAAGAATGAGCAGTGTGTCAGTGTTTATGGAAAAGCAAATTGATAAATGTTCAGTAACAATATAGTATCAACAATTATCCATCCTTGATCAACTCTCCTTGATAGTTTCCACAAGGACAAATTTTGCTAACAAAAAATCTGAAGTAATTTTAAAACTGCAACATTTATTTAATGTAGTTAATGGGTAACATTTTCATTATGTTGTGTATAAATTTCTTGTGTTCCCCGCCTCCCACCAAAATTTGTTATTACATTATTTTTTAATTATAATTATCTTAATGTACCTCTATATAGGCTCCATACACCGGGAGCCCGACATGGGATTCGATCCCGGGTCTCCAGGATCGCGCCCTGGGCCAAAGGCAGGCGCTAAACTGCTGTGCCACCCAGGGATCCCCCAAGCCTTAGTTCTTTGACTCTTTCATCAGTAGTACATCCTTGATGTCATACTGTGTATTATAATTTAATATATTTACAGCCTTTTAGAAGCTTGCTTCTCCCTCTGCCTGTGTCTCTGCCTCTCTCTCTCTCTCTCTCTCACTGTGTGCCTATCATAAATAAATAAAACAAAAAAATTTTTTTTAAAAAAATTATAATTATCTTAATGTACCTCTATATAGGTGTTAGAGAAAAATAGATGCACAAATGCTCTACATATCTTTTTAGGAGTAGAATTGTGCATATCACATAGCTTCTCTGTACTTTTTAGTGTGTGTTTTGTATTGTTTTATCTTGCCTTTTTTGTTCTGTAATTTTCTGTTGGTGACTTAACCTGTATGGCATATAGTAACTTAAAATTTTTTTTTCTCAAGTGACACTGCTATTTAGTCAAATATATAGAGCATCCCCATTTCTGCTTACTTGTGGTGTCAATAAATTCACATGCTAATCTGAGTTGATCTGTGTTTCTTATTCCCACTCAACCCTCCATACCTATATACCAAAATAATAATAGTAATGGTAGCTATAGTAAATGATACGTTATATGGTGCGTTTGCTCTTGAAAGAGTTGGGGATAGCGAATTCTTTTTATTTTGCTTTGCTTTAAAAGTAAACTTCTATTCACAAACAGAAGCTTATAGTTTCTGAGTCCACTTATATTGTGTAATATTCGTATTAGCTAGAGATCCAGTGGTACAAGTGTAAAGAGACTACCTAAGCAGAGAGAGGTAGGAGAGGAATCTTTTAATCCATTCTAATATGAATACAGGTACCCCATTTTTTGAAGAAGTATAAATCTCGTGACTATCAGAAGCTTTGCTTGGCTTCTGTAGAACCATTGTATTAGATTAATAATCCTGAATTGGACTTCAGTGTTCTGAACTTGAAACTTTGACCACACCTTTCCATTTAGTCTCATTCTGAAATCTTAGCCTAACACTGCAAGGTATAACCAGTTGTTGCCTTGATTAATACCTGCTCACAGTTCTCAATTGTACTAATATGTAGTTGTACTTTTATGAAGGAATGAAGGACTCTAAAATAGTTTTGCTGCAATGCTATAGCAAGTTTTAACAAACCTCCTGGAGTTTCAGATTTTATAGTGGTGAACCTGGACTCTCCCCGTTCGACTTGTATGGTCTTACTTGCTATGTTTAAGAAGTTACTGCGTTTGCTGCAGTAGAATTCACACAATACTGTGTGATGAGGAAGAAACAAAATTTTATGTCCGGTAAAATAGCAGCTGCCAGAATTAGTTATGCCTTCCAAATGTCCACTCCGAGTCAAGACATACAGCTTTGCCGGTGTTTGAATCCCATTTCTGCTACTTACTAACTGTATGGCCCTGGGTAAATTACACATTCTGTGCCCCATTTTTCTTAAAATGAGAATAGTAATAGCTCCTACTTCACAGAGTCGTTACAAGTTTTAAATGAGTATGTTAGAAAATTGCCTTGTATTTATAAATGTTAGCTGTTCTTAGCTATTATTATTACCAGTGCTTCCTCAGTATGTGCTTCTGTTAGAAACTTGTGACATCACCTCATAAATGTTTATTTCCATGCTTTATTCTATTGGCGTAACGGGAGAGTCCCTCCTTTATCCATCTTCTAGATCTACCCCAACGTGCTGTGCAGAGTATACATGTAGTTCCTATAGTTGAATGAAGCTACAACTGAGATTTACTATATAAAATACATACCACGTTCTGTTTTTGAATAAAATCAACTTTAGTTGTAACTCGTTGCTATTAGAATTTTTTAAGTTGTTGTTTTTTTTTAACGTTTCAGAAATTGCTTTTCGATAGATAAGCCGAATGGTTGTTACAAAGGTATGTCACTTAGTATCTCACTTCTTGTTTTCTTTCTTTTTGGTGTGCCGGTGATGGAAATAGTGCCTCAGTGTGTCTGGAGAATAAATGTGGATGTTCCCGAGGAAGCTAACCAGAATCTTTCGTTCAGTGCTGCCGAGCGGTGGTGGGAGCAGACAGATTTGACCAAACTCATCCTATCCAGCAATCAGCTTCAGTCGCTTACAGATGACCTGCGACTCCTGCCTGCGCTTACTGTTCTTGATGTACGTTGACCGATGACGGGTCATTAGTTGAAGAGACTCCAGAGGTCAAGTTAAGCATCGATATGCAGAAAACACATGTTTAATTGATAGAATACAAAGAGGAATAAGTTATTGGTGGGCATAGCATGAGGGTTCCGAGTGCACATACTGAACATCAGGCTTCTATTCTCATTGGCTGTGTGACCTTGGGAAGGTTACCTCCTTGTGCCTCAGTTTCCACATCTATAAACCATGACTAAGATTACTACCTATTTTTAAAAATTGTTTTTAGATTTAAATACATTATTGCATGAATCTGTATTTATTTAACAAGTGGTTACTGTTGCTCATCTTGTATTGCAGTTATTTTTCTCATTATTCTAGACATGAAAGCAATACTTGAAATTACATTTTTTTTAACTTGTTTTCAACACTGACTTGAATTATTGAACTTAAATTTTTGTGTGTTTATTCAAGGACTATTTTTTAGTCCCATTTAGTCTCATTTTTTTAGTCTCATTAGTGTTTATTTAGACTATTTAGTCTCGTCATATTGTCAAGGAAAGCATGAGTAGTTTGTTGCACAATCTATGGAGTTCTGATGTACTTAGGAACATCAGAAATCTTTTAGTTCATGTCTGAAAATGTTGACTCTTGTCAAATTTCCAGAGAAGTTTTTATTTTCTTCATTTGTAAAATGAATGGATTGGCTTAGGTGTTCTCTAAGGTTCCTTGTACCTTGAAAATAATATGAGAACATGAGAGGTCCCTCTCCTCTTTCTCTCCCTTTTTTTGATATGTTGACATAAATCATACTATCAAGTGCTATTAGTTTTTAACCCTCTTAAAGGTACAGCTATGTTTTTAAAATACTAGTTTTTAACCCTCAGTGAGGTACAGCCATTTTTTAAAATAGTAATATTTAAAATTGATGACATATCACTTCATGATTTTGAACAGAAGTTTGGTCACTTGAAATTACTTTTCTTCTTTTATATGTAGGACAAATTAACAGTACTCCAACTCTGCTGTTGAATTAGAATAACAATTATTATAGAGGAATTTTGTACAATGGCAAACTCATATATGGTTAATTATGACTAAGATATTGACTGTTTTTAAATAACTTTTAGATACATGATAATCAGCTGACATCCCTTCCTTCAGCTATAAGAGAGTTAGAAAATCTTCAGAAACTTAATGTCAGGTAAAATTTAAGCTTATTTAATTTCAGTGTTGCTAATATAAGGGTGTAAATCTGATATTCTTAAATTTTTTTCTAACATCAGAAAATATTTTTGTATTATCAGAAAGTGGTAAAAGAGAAGAATTTTAAATTTCCTCAGATTTTTTTCCTCAGATTATTTTTATTTTTGTTTTAGAATTACATGTTTTTTCTGATTTTAAAAATATAAGGCCTGTTTTTTTTTTTTTTGAAGTACTTTCTGTTTTATTTATTTACTTTTTTTAAAAAAATATTTATTGAGAGAGAGAGCGCGTATGCACGCCTGGGGGACAAGGACAGAGGGATAGGGACTAGCAGACTCCCTGCTGAGCAGGGAGCCTGAGGACCTAGGGCTTGATCCCAGGATCCCGGGATAATGATTTGAGTGGAAGGCAGACACTTAAGAGACTGAACCACCCAGGCGATCCCCTTTTTGTTTTATTTTTATGTAACAATTTTTACTGGGTATTTTAGTAACTGTATTGTTGATATCTCAGGTTTTAAGTTACTGTGATATTCTAAAAAAATAGAATATTTTTTTAGAATTTCAAATTCTAGGAAATAGGAATTTTGAATAGGAAATAGGAATATTTTGAATATTAGGAAATTGGAAAATTTTGAAATGATTCTTTCATTAATGGTAAAAATGTCATGGTTTAAATATTAGTAGTATTTATTTATTTATTTATTCATGAGAGACAGAGGCAGAGACACAGGCAGAGGGAGAAGCAGCTCCCTGGGGGGTTATCTGATGTGAGACCCCATCTCAGACCTCCAGGATCACGCCCTGAGCCAAAGGCAGACGCTCAACCGCTGAGCCACCCAGGCGTCCCGAATATTAGTAGCTTTTAAAGTTTTCTGAGAACTCCTGGGGTTCTGTAGATGTGCTTCTAGTACTCATTGGTAGGTATATGGGAAGCCAGGCAGCTGAAGTTCTGGCTAACTTTGTTTGCTTTTCAATACACACCTAGACTTTCAAGAAATAATACTATCTTACATGTTATGTATACACAGATTAGAGGAAAGGGGATTTGGGAAGATTTCATTTAGGAGATTAAAAGGTTTATTAAGTGTTCAAAACATAGTTTGAAAAACTGGTTTATAAAATTGGTATGGTTACAGATCTATCTAACAGCATAGTCAAGTCTTAGTGCTCTGCAGGTAAGCTAATTGCTTTGAGGGAAAATGGTTCCTTAGTTACAGTCCTCATCTGTTGAAAAAATTACAAAAATCAGCAAAGATATCTACATAAATGGTGCTAATTATTTAGAGCTACATCAGACCCTCTTCCCCATACAAGTCCAAGGCATGGTTGTGACTTGCAAAGTCAAGAATGGGGAGGGTTGAGAGAAGAGGTGAGGGAGTATGGATTGGGTATGGCAATGGCTTTAGCTTTGGCTTCCAGCACTTTAGAAGATAAGTGTTAGGATGGAGGAAGTAGATGGAGAATGGAGTAGAAGAAATGTGTAGCTAGAAATGTATTAACGTCTCTGCCCAACTATGTCCCTGTGACATTTACAAAGATTTCAGTTAAGTGTCCAACAGTAATAGCCAATTTTTGACAACTGTTTAGTGGTTTTAATTTATTTTAGAAGGTATCTTGTGGTATTTTTGTTTCAACTACTTTGATTTTTGTATAATTTAAGGCTATCTTTACCCCATTGTATTTCTTATGTCACCCTGTTATTTGTTAAATAATTGTAAATGGAATAAAAATAGAATGGAATTCCTAAGTGAATAGTTGAGATAAATCTGGGAATAAGTTAAATCAGGTCATCTCTTAATTACCAGGGAATGTATCATCTTTAGTGACTTGGGACATCTAAAACAATAAACTGAGTAACTCTACAGAAGGACAAAGCTGAAAATTTAAGAACAAAGAAGAGTGAAGTTGCATATTACATTTAGCTGGACATGCCAGGCCCTTAAACAGAAATAGCTATTTTTGTCTTGAGTGCCAGCTTGAAAACATAATCTCCATAGAAGCTGTAGTGTTATGTGTGCCCATATCTCTGTTAAAATTCTAAAATTCAGATATGGGGCACCTAGGTAGCTCAGTCAGTTAAGCATCTGGCTCAGGTGATGATCTCAGGGTCCTGGGATAGAGCCTTGTGTCAGGCTCCCTGCTCAGTGGGGAGTCTGCTTCTCCCTCTCCTGCTGTCCCCCACCCACTTTGCTCACACATACTTTCTTTCTCTCTAATAAATAAAATCTTCAAAATAAAATAAAATTCAGATACAGTATGAAAATTCCAGTGTATCCTTCCACTTACAAAATCAAGAGTAGGCTCTAAGGAAGCAATCAATGTTCACAAATTATTTGGTTTTAAACCTTTATTTCTTTGTTTTCTTTGAAACTCAATTTGATTACTCTAGATGACTATAATTTTAATGAGTTATACAGTTTTTGGATGTGAAGTTTGATAAGTTTTTAAAATTAGTTATCCTATTTCATTTTTTAAAATGAGCCCATGTAGTTAGCAAAAATACCTTTACAAATATTTATGTTGTTACCAAATTACTCAGCATTTATTTTATCAATAGCCATAACAAACTGCAAATACTTCCTGAAGAAATTACAAATCTAAGAAACCTGAAAGGCTTGTATCTCCAGCATAATGAACTAACTCGTATACCAGAGGGATTTGAACAACTTTTCAATTTAGAAGATTTGGTAAGTTGTGATTTTTGAATGTTTATATAATTTGGGGCTAATGGGATTTTTCATCAGGCCAAGAAATTGTATATATGATTGAAATAATGAAAAACATGGACAGCTGATTATATGACTAGATTATCAGAAACTATGTTTCCATTAGATTGCTCAATCAGTAATTGTAAATTTATTTTTCCTATTTTTTCTTATAAATTCACCTTAGGTTTTAATAAAAGAAGAGGGTATGGAAGAGGGTAATAAGGATGACTGTTACCAGAGGATTTTATGACTTTGCAAAATAGAGAATAGTTGTCTTTAGCATAAATGAATTCCCATTTCTATACCCATTCCTTCTTTATTGTCCCCATAACTCTCCTGTCCTTTGAGTGTCCAGACAGTTCCCTTTAAGTCCTGCCTTTTCTTCCCTATTTTTCAGAATGTCACCTGACCTCACAAAATTTTCATTCTATGTCATATCCTAAATAGAGATAACTGCAAAGCAATACAGATACTATTTTAAGAATAATGAAAATAATAGGCACGTTGCTTTGTTCTTTACAAACAGCAAGGTACACAGTTTTATCTTCTAGAACAGATACAGAACTATGATTTATTAAAAAAAAAACAAAACACAGTACCTTCTCTGAAGCCATGTTACTAATAAGGAATTCAGGATTTTAACGTAAGTCAGTTTAACTGCAAAGTGTATCCCTTTTTTTCTCCCACATACCCCTGAAAGAGTAAGATTCCATTGTAAAATATTCGATCTGAAAGACTTTAGCTAGATTAGATTAGTTGTTCCAATATGTAATCTCTACTACACATAGTTACTTCCTCTTATATTCTTGTTCTTTTCCCTATTACATATTTTCAAAAACTTATGTCACTTTAAAGTTTATTTCTCATTAAAGGGAAAGTTAATTCTTTTACCTCTTTTTTTTTTTTCCTGTAAATACATCTTCCTTGGATTTCCCTCATCTGCTCTAGTGCTTGAAATCAACATATATAACTCTCCTCAATCGTTCCTTCAATATCTGTCTTTGTTGTATTTCAATCTGATCAGATTGGACATAAGGTTTGGAAAGTGAAAGGCATAGGTAGATAAAATGAATAGCTAAAGAAGGAGCCATCAGATTTTCTTATAAAATTTAATGGTAAAAGATAGTAATTGATATATAAAAAAAGAAGAGTGTTTATATTAGCAAGGAAACCTAATAAACTAGCAATTCCCAGTTGTTTCCTTTTTATGGGTTCCCAGATAGTCATTTGCATAATGAAAGGATATTTCAGTTGAGAATTGTGTTAAGGACAGTATTAAATCATAAATGTGAACAATATATCACATTAGAAATATAAGCATATTTAATAATTTAAGAAAGTACTATTTCTTAAAGTTATATAAAAACTTTAGCAATGGTACTAAATATTGAAGTGACAGCATACTGATTAATTTATATGCAAATGTACATGCTTTATATCTAACTTATTGACTGCAATAATTAAATGTTTGACTTTATTAGTAATTTTGTTGATTAGGGTTCTTTAAATACCTTAAGAATTTTTGTGAATTAATATCTTTTCTCTGTCAAAAACTTAACTTTCTTATTTTGAAATAATTTTAGATTTATAAAAATGTAGAGAGTACAGAGAGTTCCCATAATTTGACATTTTACATACCCATGGGACATATGAAAAACTAAGTTATTAACATTGGTACAGTATTACTAACTGGACTATAGATTTTAAGATTTTCCTAGTTTTTCCACTAATATATATATATTTTTTTTTGGTTCCAGGATCCAATCCAGAACACTATATTGCATTTAGTGTCAGTAACATTTGATATTACAAAATATTTATTTAGTTGTAGTCTGTTGATTATTAGTGTTTAGTGTCAGAGTTATAGATTGTTGTTTCTTGTTGTAGACTGATGTCATTTATAATAGTAACTTTATAAAAAATAGCTGATCTAGTGTTTTTACCTTTTTCTGTCTTCTTAATTGATTTAGAGTTACAGAATGCAGCTGTTTAATGTTAGACTAGATGAAAGTCTTCAGAGAACAAGTTCCCTTAAGTCATTTTTTTCTTATTCACTATTGCAACTGGCCCTACCTAACAGTTGGCTGATTGCTAATGGGGTACTTACACCTTATTCAGATGTCATAAGAATTATCTGATTGTCTTTTAAATGAAGTTTCAAAAAAAAGTTCTCTCAAAACTGTTTATGTTTTTTTTTTTTAATTTTTATTTATTTATGATAGTCACACACACAGAGAGAGAGAGAGAGAGAGAGAGAGAGAGAGGCAGAGACACAGGCAGAGGGAGAAGCAGGCTCCATGCACCGGGAGCCTGATGTGGGATTCGATCCCGGGTCTCCAGGATCGTGCCCTGGGCCAAAGGCAGGCGCCAAACCGCTGCGCCACCCAGGGATCCCAAAACTGTTTATGTTTTAAAGAAAAAACAGAAGCAGTAACTTAAAACAGGTATAGACATTCGATAAGCAAACTTGAATGAAGAAAAGTAGTAGAGAGTAAACTCCTGGACTTAGTCAAAGCAGACTTGCTGAGGTCAGCAGAAGAACCAAGAGGGAATATTTTTTTTCCTTAAAAATTAAAATGTCCATTTTCTTAGCTGTATTTTTTTTCAAGAGTTTTCCTTCCTTGCAAAGATATTTTTCATTTCATTTTACAGTTTACTCATAGTTTGCCTAATTTTTCACAGATATTAAAAAATATTGGATGAACAAATAGATTTTTAATTAAAAACAATGCATTAGATAGCATGACTTAATAATAACAGAAACCTTTTTTTTTTTAAAAAAGAAACCTTTATGTAAAATATTTCTGAGGTCAATTCGTTCTGATTCCTTTCTGCTACATTATTGGGCATATGGTGGTCTCATAGAACATTGAGGTAATGAATGACAGACAATTTTTGAAATTGTCAGTGATTGAGAGTTACAAACGATTATCACCTCTGAAATATTCTTTCTTTATGTTGCAATCTCCTCAAAATCCTGGAATCACTTTGAGGCACCCATCATTTACTTATTTATTCATTCATTCTTTCTCTTTCTAAAGGATATTTCCAACAATCGTCTTACAACTGTTCCTGCTAGTTTTTCTTCTCTCTCGAGTCTGGTGCGACTCAACATTTCCAGTAATAAGCTGAAGAGTTTGCCAGTGGAAATAAGTGGAATGAAAAGTAAATCTTTTCTATTTTAAAACATACATAAGTGTGAAGTTGGTGCAACTTATATTTAGAAAAATAAATTGTAATATAGTTACAGGAAAGTAAAATAATAAATTTTATGGTGGTAAAGCAAATAATAGCGGGTAGTCATATTTTTTGCAGACCATCATTGTCTAACTTAACTTCCTAAACAGTTACCATCAAAAGCATATTTTGGCATATCAAAAAGAAGAAAATAAGATATGATTATGAATCACGGTAAAACTGTATACCTGAGATATTGATTAGAGTTATCTCTTCATTCATTCATTCAGCATTCAATAAGAGGTATTCCCCTCTCATAGGTGATTCTCCTGGTGGTTATGTTATAGCTTGCAGACTCCTTGTGGTCCAAAGGAAAGACATCAGGAGATGGTGTCAAAAAAAAAAATGGCCATCATTTTTTTTTTTAAGGTTAAAATAGTGGTTTTATTGAAGTTTACCATTGAATCATTGTGTTGAACATATTCTAGAACTAATATTAAGGGATAAAAAAGATTGAAGGTATGTTTCAGTACCTTTTAAATAATTATACTTAGTTCTCTTAGAATTCTTGATTTAGAGGGCAGAATCATTATAGTGAGTCCTTTGTTTTAAAGACTATCATTATTTCTTGGTTGATGAGCATACTGTGTGTCAGCTGTACACTGTTTACCTTATCTAGTCTTTTCTGCTAATCATGTATAACCCCTCCTCATTTTTTTTAAGCCTCCCTTTTGTGGAAGTTACAGGAGTGATTTTGTATAGTTGATTATAGATCAGTTTGAGATAAATTTGTAAAATTGTGCTCTTTTTACTTTAGATTAATAGTCATTTGTCATTTGTAATAGGAATGTGTAAGTTAAATCTTCCATAAATTGAGTTGATACTTTAGGGGAGCCTTTACATGGGATAGCAGTAACTGAAACTTTGCTTGTCTTTGCTGTTTTTCAATAAAGGTGCTAAAAAGTAGAGCTAAACATAAAATACATTATCTTAATATATAAGAAGCTTGGATTTTTTTTCATAAATTGGACATATCTTGAGAGATGGGAAAACAGAGAAATCAGTAGAAAAATACTTTGAATTTATAGCAGTTTTCCCAATATTCTATATAAATAATGATCAAACGCTTTCTCCTTTTAGCCATGACAGTGATACTTTTAAACTGTCACCAATAGGGCATATACGTGTTTTTTTCCACCTTTAACAACTAGACCCCAAGAACAATATCTAACACTTGTGTGGTTCTTTTTAACTCAAATGCTTTTACATATATTGTTTTGCCATCACAAAGTTAAATTAGGTTAGAAAGATGTATATTTTTTATATTTTAGAGATTCATAAACCTAGGCTTCTAAATTATCTTATAAAATGTAGAGCCAAGGCTTGAGTTATGAATCACAACATTTCTGTAAGGGTTTGAATCCTCTTACTCCATCCCCATTACTCTTTCCACTATTCAGTGCTTGTATTCTCAGTACTCTTAAATGCAAACAATGCAACAAGTCTGTTTTAAAACAAACTTTTCAAAAAAAAAAATTGAACAAACTCTTCTTCATAGAATTTCCTGGATTTGGGGTGGATCACATTGTGACATTTTTAAAAATGCTCTACACAAATAATACATAAATTATTATAGCATTTGTTGAAAGTAGTGCTATTACATTTGTTTTGAAAAGCAAGTAGCCTCTTTACTAAAAGAAGCAGTCTGAGGCAGTATCAACTTAGACTTGCATTATATTAAAATTTGTAGGCTCAAAATACTGCTAAAACGTTGTAAAATGCATATCACCTATTCAAACTAGAGGGTTGAGAGTGAATTGAGGAAAATATAGCCATTATAAGTGGAAGAATCTGAGACGTGGATTAGGGAGAAAGCTGCTTATGAAATGCTTAAGGGAAAGAAGACCTTTACTTTTTTCCATTTTTGTTTTCTTATATGCCTTTTAAGAAAGAAAAATCCAGGAGGTAAGAGAGATGTTGCAAGTAAGAACATCCTTCTCGAGCTATAGTATGCATTCTTGTCCATAGTGTTAGCTGAGATGTTAGAGAAAGGATGCAATTTAAGCAAAAATAGGAAAAATGAAGACAGGGAGGGAGAGAAAAGACAGTATGGATAAATGGAAAAATAGGACATATATAGAAATCCAAGGCTTTTTGACAGAAAGTCAACTTGCTTACTTTAAATACATGTGTCTAATACTAGCCAGTTACTTGACATCCATTCATACAGTTCGTATGCATGCATGTTTATGTCTTTACCTGAAGCTTTTTCTTTTTAAAGATGTATAATTATTATAGGGGTGCCTGGGTGGTTCAGTTGGTTGAACGGCTGACTCTTGATTTCACCTTAGAATATCAGGGTTGGGAGATCAAGCCCTGTGTGGGGCTCTGTGTTCAGCACAGAGTCTGCGTGAGATTCTCTCTCTCCCTTTCTCTCTGCCCCTGCCGCTCTGTAAATCAATCAATCAATCTTAAAGAAATAAAAGATATATAATCCTGAGGAAAATAATATCATAGTGTGTAGTTTATATTTTTAGAATACCTTAACAGAGTACTAGAGTGTTTTGTTTTTTACCATTACAAAGATAACTTGGAGTATTATTAAACATCCTTTAAAAAAAAAGATTTTATTTATTTATTTATGAGAGACACAGAGGCAGAGACACAGGCAGGGGGAGAAGCAGGCTCCATGCAGGGAGCCTGGTGTGTGGGACTTGATCCTCAAACTGTGATCATGCCCAAAGGCAGAGGCTCAACTACTGAGCCACCCAGGCGTTCTTATTAAACATCATTTTAATGCCATTTCCCTTTAATTATAATTAAATATAAAAGCAATCAATGTATGTTTTTTTCCTTCAGTATTATTCTAGGATTCTTGATTATTATAGCAGTATATAGTAGCATGGGTTCGTAATTCTTCATGACGTACACATTCTTTGAATGTATACATAATTATAGACCAATATTTTTCTCTTTATTAAAGTATTTTTGTTTTTCACTTACTATGTATTGTAGGATTAAAGCATTTGGATTGTAATTCAAATCTTTTAGAAACTGTACCTCCTGAATTGGCTAACATGGAATCACTAGAATTGCTTTATTTACAGAGGAATAAATTACGTTTTCTACCAGAATTTCCTTCTTGTAGATTATTAAAGGTAATATTTATTTATTTATTTTTTAAATAATAAATTTATTTTTTATTGGTGTTCAATTTGCCAACATACAGAATAACACCCAGTGCTCATCCCGTCAAGTGCCCCCCTCAGTGCCCGTCACCCATTCACCTCCACCCCCCGCCCTCCTCCCCTTCCACCACCCCTAGTTCATTTCCCAGAGTTAGGAGTCTTCATGTTCTGTCTCCCTTTCTGATATTTCCTACCCACTTCTTCTCCCTTCTCTTCTATTCCCTTTCACTATTATTTATATTCCCCAAATGAATGAGAACATATAATGTTTGTCCTTCTCCGATTGACTTATTTCACTCAGCATAATACCCTCCAGTTCCATCCACGTCAAAGCAAATGGTGGGTATTTGTCATTTCTAATGGCTGAGGAATATTCCATTGTATACATAAACCACATCTTCTTTATTTAAAGGTAATATTTAGTTGATTACTAAATAACTATATATTTTCCAAAAGTTAATTATGAAAATGAAAATTTTAATCTTGTTTTAAATTAGGAATATGTATTATATGTTTTCCCTATATGTTTCAGAATTTTAATGACTAAATACGTTAATGGTATTGTTAGCAGTATTTTTGTATTTTTATTTTTATTTATTTTTTAAAGATTTTATTTATTCATGAGAGACACACACAGAGAGAGAGAGAGAGAGGCAGAGACACAGGCAGAGGGAGAAGCAGGCTCCATGCAGGGAGCGCGATGTGGGACTCGATCCCAGGTCTCCAGGATCAGGCCCTGGGCTGAAGGCGGTGCTACACCGCCGAGCCACCCAGGCTGCCTGATTTTTTTTTTTTTTTTAAAGAAATCATCAAGTTTAGGAGTTTGTCCATCTCATCTGGGGAGTAGTTTATAACTGGAGAAGTAGATGATGAGGCCAGCATAGTAAGGTGGAGCCATACTGTAGGACACCCGTAGTACTAGGAAGGAATATGTATCTAATTTAAGTTGCCACATCTCCTGTTTACTTGACCATAATCGAGTCTGTTTAAAATTAATTACTTTCTTTTGGTTTTAAGTATATAGCATTAGCATTGCCTTTTAAATTTGTCATAAACGTTGTCTTTTAACATTGTTCTCCTTCATGTGTTTTTGTATATTAGAGTTATAAGGGCTTCTCTTAAACAGAATGGTGGCAGTGTTAAAAGGAACTGAGAAAGTTATTTAGTTGAAGATTAATTATCCATCTGATAATTATAGATTCTGTTAATGGGAAATCACTATATTTAATAATCACTAATGAGGAGCACCCAAGTGACTTAGTTGGTTAATTGTCTGACTCTGGGTTTCAGCTCACGTCATGATCCTCAGGGTTGTGAGATTAAGCCCCATGTCGGGCTCCCTGCCGAGCATGGTGTTGGCTGGAGATTCTCTCTTCTGCCTCTGACCCGTTCATGTACTTTTTCTCTTACTCTCTCTGAAATAAACCTTAAAAAAATGATTACTAATTAAAATGTTGAATAACAACAAACTAATTATAATTTCTTACGCTTATTCCAACTTGTTTTTAAAACTTTAAATTTTTTATCAGCATGGTTCTTGGATTTGTATTTTTATTAATTCTATAAATGTAATTACTAAATCATTTCTGTGCTTTGGTTTGTAAACTTTGAACTTCCTGGCAGATTAAATCTTTAATTTTTTTTAATTGTGAGAAAATCCTTGAACATGTTCTATTTTAAAATTTTTAGCTATAAGATAGCTTACTTGTAATTGCAAGCTTAAGCACCTGAATTAATTAGAAACTTATGTTTTTTCCATGTTTTTCAGTGATTTGAAATTAAGATTTCAATTTTATTTTTAATATCTAATATAAAATTGAATACAGAAATACATATGATTGATCTTTGGTTTTGTAGGAATTACATGTAGGTGAAAACCAGATTGAAATATTAGGGCCAGAACATCTTAAGCATCTGAATTCTATCCTTGTGCTAGACCTGCGGGATAATAAGTTAAGATCTGTTCCAGATGAAATTACACTACTACAGTCTTTGGAAAGGCTTGACCTAAGCAACAATGATATTAGTAGGTAAGTTTAAAGATCAAATGAATAAGAAATCATGCCTGCATTTGCTTATAATTCATTAGTTAATATTAATAAATAGATATTTGCAAAAAATATGTAGAGATCTTTTTTTTCTAAATTCACTAAATATTTATTGAACAAGTATCATATGCAGACCTACAAAGAATGGTTAGATTTGATCCTTGGCAGCAAGCTTAAAGTACTGATAGAATCAGGTATATTTATAAGTTACTCTGATTCACTCAGAACAGAAACTGAGAAGTCAGGATTTTTATGTTGACTGCTCTAGCTCTGACTCCTAGATCAGTGTCTGGGTAGATAGAAAGTACTTGATAAATACTTGTTGAATTTATTAAATGAATGTGAAGCCATGGAAGAGATGCTTTGAGGGCTTAAAGGAAACATAGGAATCAGCAATTTATTGAAAGGAGTTGGCAGCCTTTGTAGAAGAAGAAACATTCTTAGCTGCTGGATGGGACTGGGACTAGGGTGAGGCAAGTTAAGTTCTTATAGCACAAAATTTAAGAGCACACTCACTTTCAGGATCCTGCCTTGCTCTAATCCACCATATGATCTTTCAGGGATGACTGTGATTTTTAAGTGCACACATAAGGTGTCACAGTGATTCACTTGGTGGGACAAAACTTAAGCATGAAGAAAACTTTGAAAGTTCAGGAAATTGTAGGGGTATATTTAGAGAACCGCAAGGAATTGAGTTAACCTGTTTAGTAGGGGACATTTAGGGAGATGGTGAGGAATTAGGGCTTGAAAGGTAAGTTGAGGCCATGTGGAATAAGTCCTTAAAATGCCTCTGAAGAGTCAGTTTTCATTCATGAAGAAATGAGGAGCTACTGAAAGATTAAGAGCAGGATCAATTTGATTATAATCTTATTAAAAATATAAATTGGTGATTGTGGTGTGAGTACAGTTTTTGTGGGTACGAATGGTTTTGTAAGTGGGAAATAATAATAGATTATTAGGGAAGAATTTCATTTGGTTACTTGAACAAAATCCGAACATTTAGTATCCTTGTGAATATAGCTGTCTTGAATCACTGATTTATTCAAATTTACTTTTTACAATTTGTATTTAGCAAATGTTTTGTAGCTCACACTTTTTTTTAGCAATCACAGTATGACAGTTTCAAAACAGATCTCTTTTTTCTTTTACATGTTCAGCATTTATCTGAAAAGGAAATACTTATGGCCTGTGTTTCTTGGACTCTCTTTGACACTATTACAAGATATATAGTTGGTCATATGTTGTTAGTTTTATACTCAACTATTCAGTTGAATTATACTTAACTCTTTATGTTAGCCCTGAAATCATTTTAATCTTTTTGTAGTCTACCCTGTTCATTGGGAAAACTTCCTTTGAAATTTCTGGCGCTAGAAGGAAATCCTTTGAGAACCATACGAAGAGAAATTATAAATGTAAGCATATTTAGAATTCAGTTCTGGTTTTTAAATTTGAAATTCAAACATACATTTTGATCTATGAAATTGCAAGGTATGTCTTGATGAATATATGTCTTCTCTCCACCTTTTCAGAAAGGAACCCAAGAAGTCCTAAAATATCTGCGAAGCAAGATTAAAGGTACTTTTCTATTTTTTTCCTGTATTTTGAAAGATAGTATGAAAGACGGTGAAAAGCTAATAGTATATAAATTTACATGTATTGTGAGTGTAAATTAGAAATGGTCCCTGACAGGTGGTTTTAATGCTGAATCCATACAGGCCATAAATATGCTGAAATCATAAAAGAATCCTGAATTTCACAGTAATGCTTTATCTTTAATTTCTTTGATTTGTGTTATAGTATGTCAGTTGGAAAATAAAAGATTCAATAAGCATCCTAGTGCTTTAACTTAGAAAAAAGAGCAAAACTTGACTTTTATGATATGTATAGTATATGAATTCTGTTGACTAGGAGGCATATTAACAATTATTTGAATACTTGCTTCATACATAGTTTTGCTAAGTTCTGACAAGAATAAAGATAAAACACATTTTTCAGGATATGTAAATTTAGCATGAATATGCATCAAAAGAGAAACTGATCCTGTACATTTAATTTTTAATGCCTCAATAAAATAGTGCTATATCCCAATTTTTATTTTATGTGTGTCATTGTAAGATACACGAGTATATTTAAAAAGTCACCTATACTAATGTATTGGTGTATAACAAACAGTCTACAACTTAGTGGCTAACCTATAGCAAATGTTAATTTAGCTCACAACTCTGGTTATGCACAGCCTAGCTTAGCACCATATTGCCAGTCAGTATATGTTAAATTAATAATTGTATGCATCAATAATTTCCATTTACAACCTTGGTCTTCAAACAAATTAACAATTTTCTAAGACTCTTATTTCCTGCTAATCAAGGCATTTCATTTCTTTTCCAGGTATGCTTTCTCCCCCAGAAATTAATTTTTATTAATTATTCTGATATGAATCAGTTAGAAGTCATAGTGAAATAATCAAAACAATTTTTTTAAAGATTTTATTTATTAATGAAAGCAGAGAGAGAGAGAGAGAGAGAGAGAGAGAGAGGCAGAGACACAGGCAGAGGGAGAAGCAGGCTCTATGCAGGGAGCCTGACATGGGACTCGATCCTGGATCTCCAGGATCACACCCTGGGCTGAAGGTGGCGCTAAACCGCTGAGCCACCCAGGCTGCCCGAAAACAATTTTTAAAGACTTAATGTTTTTAGAGTAGTTTTAGCTATACAATGAAATTGAGATATTTCCCATATATCCTCTGCCCCCACACATCCATAGCCTCCTTCATTTATAAACATCACTTACCTGAATGGTATATTTTTTTCCCAAGAATGAACCTACATTGACACATCATCACATCCCAAATCATAGCTATGTTGGACTTCACTCTTGGTGTAGTATATTCTATGGGTTTGGACAACTTATTCACCATTGTAATATCATACAAAGTGTTTTCACTGCCATAAAAATCTGTGATCAGTCTGTTTATCCTATTATCCCCTTTATCAGCCCATCTCTAGAAGCCATTAATCTTTTTCTCATCTCCATAGTTTTGCCTTTTCCAGAATGTCATGTAATTAGAATCTTCCAGATTGGGTTCTTTCACCGTGTAGTATGCATTTAAGTGTCCTCCATGCTTTTCGTGACTTGATAGCTCATTTTTTTTTAGCACTGAATAATCTATTGTCTGGATGTACTACAATTTATCTATTCACCCTACTAAAGGGTATGTTGGCTGCTTGCAAGTTTTGGCAATTATGAATAAATCTATTCTTTTTTGCATGTGGATCTCCTGATGTTTCAGCACCATTTGTGGAAAAGACCCTCTTTATTCCACTGTATTTATTGCCTTGGTTCCTTTGTCAAAGATGAGTTGACTGTATTTAGGTAGATCTTTTATGGGCTCTTTGTTTTATTCTTTTGTCAGTTTTTTTTTTACTGTCTCAATTACAGTGGCTTTATAGTAAGTCTTCAAGTTGCATAGTGTCAATCCTCCCACTTTGTTCTTCTCCATCAATATTGCATTTACTATTTTGAATCTTTGGCTGCTTTATATAAACTTTAGAATCAGTTTGTCACTATCCCCAAATTACTTGCTGGGATTTTGATTGGGATTGCATTGAATATATCAAGTAGGGAAGAAGGGACTTCATGACAATATTGAGACCTTTTATCCATGAATATGGAATATCTCTCCATTTAATTCTTTGATTTCATTCATCAGAGTTTTGTAATTGTCCTCATAGAGTTCTTATACGTATTTTGTCATATTTATATATAAGCATTTCATTTGGGGGGGATGCTAATGTAATTACTATTGTGTTTTTAATTTCAGATTCTACTTATTGATATAAAGGAAAGCAATATACTTTTATATATGAACCTTGTATCCTGCAACCTTACTATATAATCACTTACTAGTTTCAGGAGGTGTTGCTTGTCCCATCTTTTGGATTTTCTGCCTATGATCATGCCATCTGTGAACAAAGGCTATTTTATGTTTTCCTTCCCAATTTGTGTACTTTTAGTATCATTTCCTTACTGAATTGCAGTATCAAGGACATTTCAGTATGATGTTCAGGAGTGGTGAGAGGGGCATCCTTACCTCATACTTCATCTTAGGGAAAGGGTTCAAGTTTCTCACCATTAAATATGATGTGAGTTGTAGAGTTTTTGTAGATACCTCTCGGTAAGTTGAGAAAGTTCCCCTCTATTCCTCGTTTACTGAGAATTTTTATCATAAAGGAGCGTTGGAAGTTGTCACATTTTTTTTTAAAGGTTTTATTTATTCATGAGAGACAGAGAGAGAGAGGCAGAGACAGCAGAGGGAGGAGAAGCAGACTCCAAGCAGGGAGCCTGATGGTGGGACTCGATCCCAGGACCCCAGGATCACGCCCTGAGCCGAAGGCAGCACTAAACTGCCGAGCCACCCAGGCTGCCCATGTCACATTTTTTTTTTTTTTTTTTTTTTTGGTTTTTAGCCTGTTGACGTGAAGCATTACATTGATTTTTGAATGTTGAACTAGACTTAAATTCCTGGGTTAAATACCACTTAGTCATAGTGTATAATTTAAAAAATACTTTTTAATATTAAATCTGCTCATATTTTGTTGAGGAATTTTGCATGTATGTTCATGAGATATAGTGCTTTCTAGTTCTTTTCTTGTAATATCTTTGTCTGGTTTTGGTTTTAGGTTATTGTTGGCCCCAGAATAAGTTAGGAAGTATTCCTTCTGCTTCTGTCTTCTCAAAGAGATTATAAAAATTGATAAAATTTCTTCCTTAAATCACCAGTGAATCCATCTGGACCTGGCTTTCTGTTTTTTTTTTTTTTTTTTTTTTTTTTTTTCTGGCTTTCTGTTTTGGAAGGTCATTAAATATTCATTTAATTTCTTTTATAGATATAGGTATATTCAGCTTCTGTGTTTCTTTTTTGTGAGTTTTGGCAGATTGTGTCTTCCAAGCAATTGGTCCATTTCATCTAGATTACCAAATTTGTGGGAATAAAGTCAATTTTAGAAAATTTTCATCATCTCAGTGAGAATTTTCATACTTTTTAGCTGTTATGGATAATGGTGTGATAAACACTTATTTACAAGTTTCAGTGTGAGCTTGTGTTTTCATTTCTCTTGTGTGTATATCTAGGAGTGGAATTGCTGGGTTAGTGGCAAATTTGTTTAGTCATTTGAGGAACTGCCAGACTATTTTACAAAGCAGCTGTACCAGTTTCCATTCTTATCAGTATTGTATGATTTTATATCCTCACCAACACTTGTTGTTTTCTGACTTTCTGATTCTAGATACCCAGGTAGGTGTGAAGTGGCACCTCACTCTGGGATTCTTGCATATTTCCCTGATGACTAATGATGTTGAGCATCTTTTCGTGTGCTTATTGGCCATTGGTACATTTTTAGAGAAATGCCTTTTCAGATCTTTTGCCCAATTTTTAATTTGTTGAATCTTTTTATTATTCAGTTATAGTAGTTCTTTATATAGTACAGATATAAGTGTCTTGTCAGATGATTTACAAATATCTTCTATCCCTTTGTGAGTTTGTTTTTCATTTCTTGATGGTGTCTGTTGAAACATAGAAGTTTTTTTTTTTTAATTTTGATGAAGTCAGGTTTTTTTTCTTCTTTTCTGCTTATGCTTTTGGTTTCATGTCTAAAAGTCCTTTGCAAAAACCTACTTTATGAAAATTCGTTCCTATATTTTCTTCTAAGAGTTTTATATTTTTGCTCTTACATTTAAGAACTTGATCCATTTTGAGTTAATTTTTATATATAGCATGACATAAGGGTCCAATTTAGTTCTTCTGCATGTGGCTGTCCAGTTTCTTTGCACCATTTCTTGAGACTACTTTTCTTTCCTCATTGAATGGTTTTGTCATTTTTATTGAAAATCAGTTGACACAGGGTTCATTCTGGACTCTCAGTTTTATTCTGTTGATCTGTATGTCTGTCCTGTGCTTGTACCACAATCTCTTGATTATCATCGATTTGTAGTAAGTTTTGAAATCGGTAAGGGTAAATCATCTATTCTTTTTTCTCAGGATTGTTTTAGCTATTCTGCATTTTTTCAATCCCATATGAGTTTTGGAATCAGTTTGTTGATTTCTATAATGAAGTCAGCTGGGATTCTGATAGGGATTACATTGAATCTGTAGATCAGTTTAGGGAATATTGCCATCTTAGTTTTTTTAATTAAAAAGTCGGTAAATGCACATGGTAAAAAAAAAAAATTCAACCAATATACAAGGATATATAATAAAAAGAAAATCTCTCACGTAGTTCCCTCCCAAGGCATGGTAAGTTCCCTCTTTACATTCTTTCTGATGCTGATTATTAAAATTAGCTCTTTGAAAATGTTGAGAATACTCTATTTCAGTATGTTGTCATACTCATATACACATATGTTTAAAAAATAATGCTAGGTTTTGTTGTGATTTAATATTGCCTATCTGCTGATCTAAATTGGCAATATATATTTCATATTCTTTAAAGTGACATAACCAAACTGCTAGGGTACTTCTAAATACTAAAGCATTACTTAATACTGATATATATCTTGGTGTTTTTTATTTTTATTTGATACGGTCTTTTATTCTATGCTACTTCTATAAATAAAATATCCATATGATGTTTGCATAAGAAATACTAGCTTAATGATTATTGATTAGTGAGTAATTAGTGAGCTCCATGCAAGAGAAATATACTTCACAGTATTCAACAAATGTTCAATAAAAGCCAACTGGAGGGACACCTGGGGGGGCTTAGTGGTTGAGCGTCTGCCTTTGGCTCGGTGTGATCGCAGGGTCCAGAGATCTAGTCCCACATCGGGCTCCCTCTCTCTCTTGAATTAATGAATAATTAAAATCTTTAAAAAACAAACAAATAAATAAATGCCTATTGGGCTGAAGCAAGACAAGGGGTACTACTATTTGTTTTATGTTCTTTTGGTGTGCTCTCTGCTTTTAACTTTTGATGAATGCTAGGACTATTTCGTTTTTTTCACTGTAGAAAATTAATAATCATATTTTACTTCTGTTCAGATGGCTTGAAATCTCTTGCAGGTGTCCTGAAATATGCCTATTTGGTAGACATTTGTGTGAAGTAATACTTTTCCTTTGTTAACAAATTCCTTATTATTTTTCTTCTCTTTTTTTAAAGATTTTATTTATTTATTTGAGAGAGAGATATATATATAGATAGCAACAGAGACATCAAGAGAGAACATGAGCAGAGAGGATAGAGAGAAGCAAGAGCTGGACGAGGGGCTTGATCCTAGAACTCTGAGGTCATGACCTGAGCAGAAGGCAGATGCTTAACTGACTTAGCTACCCAAGCGCCCCTCCATATTATTTTTCTTAAGAGGAAGGATTAGTATCATTGTTTCTTCTGAGAGATTGTAGTTATTCTTTGAAGCTTATTTTCTACTCCTAAATTTTCTTAGGATAGGATTTATTAGAAGATTTTGAAGCCATATTATAGTAATTTTATCTATTTTCTATTAATAAGTTCTAGACGTAGATTTGAGTTATTAGAAATAAAGTATATGACTAAAGACATTCTCACCAATAATATCTAGAAGTCATGTGTACCATTTTTACTATTTTCAGGAATTAGGAGTGACTTTATAGTATAAATATTGTTTTCATAAAACTTTTCTCTTGCCAGATGATGGACCTACCCAGAGTGATTCTGTTGTTGAGACTGCCATGACATTACCAAGTGAATCCAGAGTCAATGTACATGCTATCATCACATTAAAAATATTAGACTATAGGTATGTAATTTTCTTAAACACTGCAGAACATAATAGGAAATTTTGAAAAATAATCCTTCAGATGAAAGTTGGTGAGGAAGAATTCATCAGAGTGTATTGGTATTTAGAATAATAGCAATTGCAGAAACAGTGATGAGATAAGAGAATATTAAAAGTACAGTGAACTTAAAATGACCATTCCTTCAGTGATTTGTGTTTATTATGCTTTAGAGATAAATGATTATTAATATTGACATTTTTATAATAAAGAACATTTTATGATTATAAAAAAAGAGTGACAGTATTGGCTTGTAATGTAATTTTTTGACTCAGTAACCAACCTCAATAGAGGATTTTATTTTTATTTATTTATTTTTTTTAAAGATTTTATTTATTTACTTATGAGAGACACAGAGAGAAGGCAGAGACACAGGCAGAGGGAGAAGCAGGCTCCCTGCGGAGAGCCTGATGCGGGACTCCATCCCAGGACCTACCCCAGGATCACGCCCTGGGCCAAAGGTAGATGCTCAACTGCTGATCCACCCAGGCGTCCCAAGAGAGGATTTTATATTGGGAAGGTCTCTATTAGTAAATAAGAAATTAGTATTATTTAGTTAATGTAGACCTAAAGCAGGCAAAGCATTAATATGTATAAGCCAAATGATAAGCCATAATAATATGCTCTAGTATATATGTATTAAACCTGGAACAATTGCAGTATTGGTATAAAAGTTGAGACAGAAACCTAAAAATGTTTATTTTATGGACGTGTATTTGATTCCGAAATGAAGATACCTATGCAAAGATTGTTAGGTACTCTTTCAGTACTGCCTAAGGCAACAATGATAGAAGTAACCAATACTGTCAAAGCTCCTACTGTGATTAGCTCATGTCTGGATATTATAATGAAAATACAAAAGGATACAGACTGAAGTTCTAAGTTCAAGTCAGGTGACCAGATTTATTCAGTTATTCAGTCTTCAGATTTATTCAGTCTTAATGTGTCAGTAGGAACCACCTTCTCAGCAGTCAAGATACAGTTTCCATTTCAGATCTGTTGTTTCATTCACATTGTTTCCACCTCTAGTCTGACATTCTTCATTGTATATAGAAATCACTGCTTAAGCCTACTTCCTTCTTTGTAACACAAGAGAATAGTCTTCCATACTTAATATTTGCATCCCTCATAGCATGACATATGGCAGCTTAGCATGTCTTTTCTTCCACATAACATGCTCATTTATTCAGTAGACATTTTTGGAACCTGCTACGTTTCAAATCCTATGCTAGGTGTCACAATACACTGACTGATGATAAGACAGACTTAATTTCTGCCTTAGAATTTTTTTTTTCTCACCCTTTATTCCTTCAACCCTGGATATCATTTATTGAGTTCCTGTTCTATGCTAGGCAGGTATTTTACATATGCTGTTGCTTTTAATCTTCTAAAGAATCTATAAAGTAATATTGATAACAATTGTATTTGAGATAACCATTCCCACTTTTTAAAGTCACAGATACCGCAGAAGTGTTATAAAGATAGCACTGAAGACCATGCATCTTATTACATTTTTTGATTCTGAATTTATTGTAATTCATTTTCCTCAGAGACTTTAACTGGAAAGGAGTATTCCATTAAAATATAAATGAATTCTCAATCTCAAGGCCTAAATGCCTTCAACTAATTTTTTTCAAGAGTGTGAATCTGCAGTGTTTGATTACAATAAATCAGTTTCCCATGACTTGAGTGTTTGATTGAAAAAGTAAAAATGCTTCATCTGCACAATAAAAAATAGGACCCTACAGCAGTAGAGGCTATAAAAACTGAATTTAGGGTGTCTTTTTACCTATCTGTATTACAATGCCTTTCTTACAGGTTTCTCTATGTTGGATGTTATATGTAATAATTGTTTCTTCTTCATATAGTCATTAGTTTGGCATCCCATTAATATTTTTCAGTGGATGATGTATTAGGCATAAACATTATAAAAGAAGAATGTAGGGCTAATTATAGCATCGACATTGTTAAATCTGCAAATGTCAGAGTACTATTATACTTTTAATATTAAATGTATACTTTATTGAAAATCTTATTGAAAAGGAAATTTATTTACATTTGCATTTGCGAAAGATCTGGCCCATATAACAATGAATAACTCCTCAGATTCTAATTTCACAGAACTGAGGTTAAGAGAAAGTGAATTTTTAAAAAGCTCCTTAATGGTAAAAAACCAGGAATAGTTTAGTCTAAGGCCACTACCCTGTCTACCTTGTCACATGCTAAAGCAGAGAGAAATTGGCTTAGGTGATGAGAAACAATTTAGTATAATATTGATAATGCTTAACTTTTAAAAATGAGTATTACCTTGCAGTTAATTACATAGCTACATAAAGTTGACAGATGGTCCCTGTTAGAAAAGGGATGACAACAGTTTTAAAATTACAGATTTAGTTCTATTCTGAGGTAGAAGAATCCACTTCCTAATTACTATCTATTTACTATATGATTTCTAAACATCTTAGACTCTGAAGATACATGTTTTTATTCACATTGAGTATGTGAATGCTCAAAAGGCATGATACAGTGTATTGCGATATGATATGGTGTCCAAATTCTTCATGGTTAGTATTTTGTGAGTTTGTAGGTTTTTGTGACATTCTTTACAGAGTTTCAAAATGTTCTTCATAAGCAACTGCTTTGCTGCCTTGAAAACTCTTATAAAATCTTTAAGGGCCTTTAAAAGTGAAAAGTGATAATCATATCTTTCTGACTGCTAAGAATGATGCATTTTAAAACCATTTTTCATTTAGTGATAAACAAACAACTTTAATTCCTGATGAAGTATTTGATGCAGTAAAAAGCAACATTATCACTTCCGTTAACTTCAGTAAGAATCAGCTATGTGAAATTCCTAAAAGGTGAGAGTTGTTCATGATGTCATTTCTATTAAGTTGTGACTCATCCTCTGGTGTGTTTGCATCTCAGTAGCAAGAATAATTATTTTTTCATAGTTTTCTAGTAGAAGTATATGTAGAATTTTTCTTATTATTGATACTTGAGGGATTTAGCAAAATTCACTTTTAAGTATTCTCTGAGACATATTAACATTAGTTCTGAGAGGTATATTAGTTTTTTTAAATTTGGTTTCTTTTTCGTTTACCGTTTAAACATGGAATATAGGTGTTAGAATTATTAGTGGAAAAGTTTTAAGACACAATCCAAAGCCAGGGCCGTGTGGATTAATAGGAATTTTCATTTTGGGCTTTATGCTAATGGATTGCCAAGCCACTGAATTTTTTTTCACTGACTGTAAAAGTAATAAAAAACAATTAATTCTGTCAATATTTTCTTCGAAGAAAAGAATACTTCACTATCAAATATTACAAGTCACAGGCATTGTACTTGTACTGTTCAGTATGTCTTTGTTGAAATTAGTTATAGCAAAATTTTTAGGTTATGAGAGAAAATTAGTATAATATTGAACTTTTAAAATGATTGTTATCTCGTAGTAAACTATATACCCAAAGAGAGTTGACAAATAACCTTGCAATTAAAACAACAGTATGGGAAACAGGATAGGGTGATGATAAAGAACTTGGACAATGGAGTCAGTTGCATGTATCTGAATCCCAGATCTGTGAGTTGTGTGGCTTTGGACAGGCTAACTAGCTGCTCTTAGTTTCCCTACCTATGAAGTAAAGATAAGAAAGTAGCTATTTTATAAGAATTAAATTAAATGACATGATCCACACAAAGTACTTGGTGCTTAGCCCTTAAGTACTTAAAAAGAAAAAAAAGAAAGATGATTGGGAAAATAGTCATCTGTCAAAAATATTGTTTAGATGTTAAAATTTTTTTTTTAATTTTTTTATTTTTATTTTATGATAGTCACAGTGAGAGAGAGGCAGAGACACAGGCAGCGGGAGAAGCAGGCTCCATGCACCGGGAGCCCGACATGGGATTCGATCCCGGGTCTCCAGGATCGCGCCCTGGGCCAAAGGCAGGCGCCAAACCGCTGCGCCACCCAGGGATCCCTAGATGTTAAAATTTTTAAAAAAGACTAACTTGCTTTCTATTTTGCAGAGCATACTTTGGAAAATGTATCTTAAAAGTCAATTAACTTTGAAATTCCATAGCAGAAGGAGATCTAGTCCATCTACTTCTCTCTTCTTTAAAGGGCTCTGTGGGTACTGGACGGAAGAACTGAGCAGTTAGATTTGTCCTCAGTCAGTATAAGTCTGCCTGGGGAATCCTGGGTCAAAACTGGCAATGGAGGTGGAAGGAGTTAAAACGCATCACCTTCATCACTTACTTTCTCATTTTACCTCACAGTCTGCATGTGCAAAACAGCGGTGTTTCTCGACACATTTTTTGGCAATTTAGGGAGCCAAAGAAGAAAGGTAGTCAGGACATACCGTGATCCTGAGAGTTTTCCCTCTTAAATTTTTATTTCCCAAGCATACTTTTCACTGTATAATTTCCTGGTTGTGAAAATAATACTTATTCATAAAATTTTGGACAAAATGAAGGGACAGATCATTTTTAGTCCCATCATTGATTTATTCTGTTCATGGCATGTTTTATTTCAAGCTATTTCCCATTTAGAATTACCTATACCATTTGTATCTTAACTGGTTTCTTTATCATAAGTGTTTTCCTTTGTTAAAAACAATACTTCTAAAATCTAAATTATCTAATACTATAAGGTGGTTAATTATGGCAATGAATAAAACAAAACATACTATTTCTTTAGATCAGATTTCCAGAATTACCTCAGTACATATATGCAAAAACTTTCCAAAAAAGTTTTATCAGTTACATATCCAAACTCATCTTTCTTTAGCACAGCAGTTGATATACTTTCTTTCATGTAGTTTCATTTGTTGGCAAATCATATCTAACATTTCTTAGAGTTAATAGCGTGCTTTAAAATTACTAAGGTTGATTAGGCTTGCTTAGAAGTGTTTAAGTATTTCTCTTTACGTCTTTGACTTAAGTTATTTAGTCATGACACTTACCAAACCTCGGAATTAACTTAATGTTTTCTTGTAGTCATGATCAATATAACGTTAATTTGAACAAAAAAAATCTTATACTTTAAAAAGTTTGATGTATCATAAAAATCATTGTGAGGTACTCAGAATATTATATTATGCAGTCTTAAAAGAAAACTACTATGTTACAGAATACACATCCAAACTGATGGAAATTTTAGTGAGAAAAGTAAAAGTTACAGGAAATCTTAATTTTAGCAAAAATAATATAGGATTTTTCCTCCTGTGATCTCCTTGGAGTTTTGAAGTTCTGACAGTAAATTCAAGAGCTAACATTTTAAAATTGTTTTTGTTTCAGGATTGTGGAACTGAAGGAAATGGTTTCTGATGTCAATCTCAGTTTTAATAAGCTTTCCTTTATATCCTTGGAATTATGTATGCTTCAGAAATTGACTTTTTTAGATCTCAGGTATTTATTGATGCTGTTGCTTCACTTTTTTTCATTATAACTTGTCTTTGAGTTTAGCTTAACATTTGTTCTTTCCCTCGTATTTCCTGAGTACGTGTGGAAATTGCTCTTTAGTTTATTAATAAACACTTTTGGACAAATCTAAAATTAGGCATTTAGGAAATATTTTAATCAAACATCTATCATTTTAGGCAATTATAAGTTAAGTAAGAAATAATTATTTAAAATATTTCAAAAATATTAACACATTCTTTAAATTTATGCTTAAAATTACAAATAGCCCATGGAAGTGTTTGTTTCCAGTCGTTCCTTTTCTGAAAGTAAATGGTATAAAACTCAAAATCCTATGTTGGCACAGCAGCTAGCCTGGCTTCCCTTAAAATAAGAACCTATTTGGGGGCTCTTGGGGGCTCAGTTAAATGGCTGCCTTCAGCTCAGGTTATGATCCCAGAATCCTGGGATTGATCCTGCATCCGGCCGTCTGTTCAGCGGGGTGTCTGCTTCTTCCTCTCCCTCTGCCCCTCCCTGCTTGTGCTCGGGCCCTCCCTCCCTTTCTTTCTTTCTTTCTTTCTTTCTTTCTTTCTTTCTTTCTTTCTTTCTTTCTTCTTTCTTTCTTTCTTTCTTCCTCTTTCCTTTTCTTTTTCTTTCTTTTCTCTTTTTTCTTTTCTTTTCTTTTCTCTTTCCTTTCCTTTCCTTTCCTTTCCTTTCCTTTCCTTTCCTTTCTTTCCTTTCCTTTTCTTTCTTTCTTTTTCTCTCTTTTGCTCTTTCACTCTCTTTCCCTTTCAAATTAATAAAATCTTAAGAAGAAAACCTATTTGGTTTCAAAGTATAGTAAACATTCAAGACCAGAAAGAAAGAAAAGACCACCATGAGTGGCAACTAAAGGAAAGAAAACAAACTATTTAAGGCTTTGTGGAGGTAATAGGAAGTTTAATTTAAATATGTCCTAAGTTGAAGTGACAGGATCGGAATTGCTACAGTTCTTTGAGGATTAGTAATAATAAATGACTAAGAGGTAGATAGTCAAATATTTATTTGTTTGGGCTTTCAGATTTTCTTTTTTTTAAAAAATATGTTATTTATTCATGAGAGACACGCAGAGAGAGACAGAGACCCAGGCAGAGGGAGAAGCATGCCTCCCTGCGGGAGCCCGATGCGAGACTCGATCCCAGGACCTCAGGATCATGACCTGAGCCAAAGGCAGATGCTCAACCACTGAGCCACCCAGGTTCCCCCTGGGCTTTAAGTCTTTATTTGTATACTATTACTTCATTATCTACACTTCCTACTCATATGTTGTTACGAGGTGCGCTTTTAGTTTATTTAAGCTGTAGCTCCTCTTGCTCTGCTCAAACAATAGGTAAATAAGAATAAGCTAAGATTTTTCTGTTTGAGGATTTATTCTGCTTGTAGAGACTTTTTTTGGCTTATGGGATTAAAGCAAATCTAATACTCTGCTCCTATTAAATGTCAAATTGCCTCTGTTTTGGTGTGGCAGTTACACTGGCAAAGCTGTGTAAAACCATGTTGTAGTGTTCAGCATTAATGGAGCAGAGAGAATAAATTCATGTAGTCATTACCGCTCTCTTTATTTTTGTCCCATTCTTAGAGTGTGTTATGTGTACGCCATTATCTATACCTTCAGGTTTCTAATTAAGTGACTAATGTACGCTTTTATATCTGATATCAGTAGCTATATAAGATCCTTGGAAAAGGATAGAAACCAGCAGTACATTTTTCAGTACAAGTTATTAGAGACAGTAACTGAAGAAAAGGAAAAAGAACATAGGTGTAGAAAGTATGACAATATATAGGCTTGACTTCTGAACCCAAAGAAATTTAGAGAAAATGACTCAGTTGTAATAGGTAGCCATCTAGTTGGATATAATTTTCTTACAAATATTTTCTATTATTAGTAATTATATAGGGCCTAGAATCCTTCTTCTTGTTGTTAACCTTCCTTTTAACATTATTCCCAGATCCTTCTAACAGTAAATGAGATTCTGTTTACTGCCATCCTTGATTATAAGATTCTTAAAAATATTTCACATTAGCATTGTACAAATTGAAATTCTAAACGTAGTAGAAATGGACTTGCTTAATACCTATGGAGTAGAAAGCTCCAAATTTCTAGGTATACAGAATCTCATCACTCTTGTTTTTTCATAAAATTTTACAGTTCTTAGAATTTCATGTCTGTATGCAAGATATATGTGTTAAACATAAATCAAATATTTGTGGCATCAAATAATATGGTATTTACAGGCATGATCTCTCCATGGCCGCCCTATCTGTAAGAAGTACTGCTGAGATTAGTTCGAAGGAGGGAAGTGATTAGTTTACAGTGTTTGCCCCATTAAGTGTATTATTAAAGATTTGGTTGCTTTATCAATTGGTTGTGTATTGGTATTAGGATTTGGCACACTAATCAAATACCTGAGCCAGCTGACTGATTCACAATTCTCAGGACTCAGCCTTAATGTGATTGGATTAAGGACTAACAAACCAAGCTATGTAGTTTTGTGTCTGTTCAACACGTTAATTATAAATTAAACTTGTACAAATTTTCAGACTTCATAAATCATCTTTTTATTTCCAATTTAGGAACAATTTTTTAAATTCTTTGCCTGAAGAAATGGAATCGCTGATAAGATTACAAACAATTAACCTTTCCTTTAACAGGTGAGAGAACAGACTAATCTATGACTAAGGATATTTATGTGGAGAATTTATAGGTCTTAGAGAATACACCTCAAAGAGTCCAATCAAAAGGCCTCGAGTGTTTATTTAAATATTCAGGTTTATTTTCACCTTATTCTAGTTAGAATTGAAAGTGATATTGCTTTCTTAGAATTTTCACAGCTGCTGTCTAGTAGACTTTTCCTTTTAACAATTCTAAGAAACTTGTAGCCTAGTAGGAAGACAGATGTAAATAAAGAATTATAATTGCTATAGTGAAAATGCAGTGCCTAGGAAAAGGTGTTTTCTGAGATTGGCCAAAGATAGAGGAGACAGCATTGAAGCCGAGACCTAAAAATTAGACGTCAGCCAGACACACAGGGATTGGGCTTCCCAGGCGGAGCACATGACAGGCACTAAAGGCACAAATGGATGGGAACATGGTGTGTTTGGGACACTTCCAGCAGTTTGATATGGCTTGGACCCCAAGTGAGGGGGTAAAGGAATAGAAATAATAAACCAAGTTGGTCAGGTAAGCGGGAGCGAGTCCTTTCAGAGCTTTATACGCCAACTAATAGATTTCATTCTGCAAACACTGTAAAGATACTGCTAATACTTATTGGGAGTTTATTATCTGCTGTCACAGGACTAAGGGCATATATTATCTCATTGAGTCCTCACAAAAGGGTAGAGGTTTCTCTCACTGTGAATCTGTCCTGTTCATTTAAAAATCAAGGATTAGAAGTTAAGGGAATCCTCCTAAGCTTTTCTATAAAATGTCTCCACATAGGTATTCTTCCTTAGTTCGCTTTTATTTCTAATGAAACAGAATTACTGGCAGTATAATTAAGTAAATATTAGATATTTATGCTTTGCTAAGGTTCACAAAAATAGTAAATTATAGATCCGGGGTTTGAGCTCAGGTGGCTTGCCTCCAGTACTTGGGCTCTTAATAACTAGGCCGTTTGTTTCCTATGATGTAAGCTGATTCTGGCAATAATCTAAATATTAATAACTAACATGTACTTACTGCATTCGAGCTTAAACATTCAGCACTTATAACAATAAGCTTAGTACAATTGTCACTCCTCATCTGCAGTTGAGGGAGCTAAGGCACAGTGATGTGTCTAAAACACTGCCTGTTTAAATTTTTGTTTTGTCTGCTTCATTATTGCTCGTGCTTTCTCATGTTATAGGTTATATCAGTATTTAAAAATATGTGTGCTTCTCAAATAATTTGCTAATCTTTGTGACCTGAACTATCAGTTTATTGTCTGTTGAGCTGTCAAAAACATTTTCATGTGATGTCTTTGGGAAGATGGCAGAAGCTAACTTCTGTGTTAACAGGTGAGCTACATCTATTTAGATTCCCTTGTTCAGGCATTGCTGAGAAAGAAGAGGGAGGACTGCTTTGGGGCAGTTTGGTCCCCCTGTACTCCTAGGTACTAACTCTCCAGTCCCGCTGGAACTTCAGAGCCATCTTGAGTTTATGCTTGCCATTGCTTGCTTGCTTGCTTGCTGTCACATCAAGGCAACAAAACAAAAGGGCAGTATGGGGAAGTAAAAAGGCCACAGCTATTAATCTGTCCTTCAGCCCATCCCTTGTCTTTTCTAGTCCATGCCACAGTTTATCTCACACTGAAACCATGCTAGCCACTGTCCCCCAAGAGATCCTTAATAATGTTGCTCTGAGCCTTGCCTTCTTTTTTTGTGACATCTCCAGTAGTGCTTTGGATGAGCAAGCAGCAGTCAGTGTTAGTTTGTGATCTTTTCAAGAACCAAAGATGCGCGTATTTTGGAAGCTTCCATCGGAGCAAAATATAAATCTCTAATATCTACTTGATATATTGGTAGTAATTCCATTTCATAAGAAGTAAAAGCAAACCAAGGAAGAATACCTACATGGAGACCTTTGTATAGAGGCTCTGGGGAGGATTTTCTTGTTTCATAAATGTGAAAAGAAAAACATAGAATTTACTCTAAACTTTGGTTGGATTTGCACAATAAATACAACGTGTTACAAAGTCTGTCCACTTAACATATATTTCATGTTTTCCAGAATCCATTCATTTTCTTGAAAATTTGAATAGAGGACTTAAACCAGATACAAAATAAATTACACTGAAGAAAACTACATCATGGTATCAAACTTAAGATCATCTATTTGAAGGAATGATTTTGCCTTGATTCTGTTCATATTTTAATAGGTTCAAAATACTACCTGACGTTCTGTATCACATTCCCACACTTGAAACTATTTTGATTAGTAACAACCAGGTTGGATCTGTGGACCCTCAGAAAATGAAGGCAATGGAAAATCTGATCACATTGGACCTTCAAAATAATGACCTCCTACAAATTCCACCAGAGCTTGGTAATTGTGTGAACTTAAGGTAACCACACCATTACGCTAAGGTTTACCGTTTATTTGATCAGTTTGTAAGTTGTTTTTGTCTTGTTGAGGTACTCCCAGGAAAGTTGAGGTAAACAATTTAATGTGTTAAAAATAACAGGTAACAAAATCCAGGATCCCAATTCCACTTTTCAAGTTTTACCAAAAATGTGTATTTTTAGCTTTGTTTATTATGGCATAATCTATGTGTAAACATAGGAACTGATTGTTTTCTGATCCTTTTGTCATCACTGTGTGTGTATAACTCGAAACTCCACTGCATAAAAAATGTCAGGGAAATATAAACTCCCCAGTTATGTATATAAGGTTTTTCAAAATCTGATTACAGACTTTGACCATTTATTTCAAGCCCAGCATGGCCTTTCTTATTCTGTTTTAGTTGTTACTTGAGCCTTAAATGCCTCTACCCTGCTTTTATCAGTAATCAACCTAAATATCATCTTTGAAAAACCTTCCCTCTTCTCCAAGCAGAGTTAGTCCCTCCCTCTGATTTTCTATCCTGCCTTTTATGGACTCATTTATACCGTTTCTTTTTCCTCCTTTAGAAGAGAGTTGTCCCAGTGCCTAGAACACAGTGAGCACCCAATAAGTGCTTGTTAAATGAATTAAAGAGAGTTTGACATGTCAACAGAAAGCCAAGTACTTAAGCAGAATGTGTCAGAAGTAGTTTAATTACTGAAAACTGTATATGATGGTTTGGCATATTTTGCTTTACCGGGGGGCACTGGCAGCTGTTTCGGTACCTCAATATTCGTGAACAGTAAGAGGCAAATACAATTGGTTCTTGTTATTTACAGTAGTTGCATCTTATAAAGTGAACACCAAATTAGTGACTGCTGGGGGAATTATAGACTTAGGCTCTTTGGAGCCTCTAGTCACATTTTCATGAACGAGTCAATATAGAACCTTGTTTTTTTGTGTGTGTTTCTGTATTTACTATTATTTATTCATTAATATTTTAACTATGGCCAGACCACACTGTAATTCACGCCCGAATGAAGCTTCTCTGGTATATTTATCTTCTCTGTAAGGCACACGACACCCTTCATGTGTTTAGGAAAAGTAGACAACACTTGAGCCACCACACTTGTGGGGCATATTAAACAGCAAACTCACCAACACACAAAGTACAAAAATGCAAAAAATGTTGCACTCCTAAGTAGATCACAGAAAGGACAGTTGATTACAACAGTGTGAGAACTGACACAAGAAGGGACAGCATCACCTTATTTGACCTCAGCTCAGAATGTGCCTGTTGATGGACTCATATTTTTTGGTGCTGTTGTGCATATCCAAAAATGACCTCAAAAGTGCCATGTGTACTGATTTTGGGGTTACTAATAAATTTTAGTGGTATGCAAATTAGCACAATATGGAGCCTGTGAATAATGAGAAAACTGGCTGTAATTAATTCCTTTTTATAAATTAAGATAATCAGTCTTTAAAAGAATTGTCACAGCCCATTCAAATTTTGAAGATATAATTTAGATCTACTGTATAATGGGGTATGAATCCTTTGGCTTTTGTTTACACAAATACTTAAGTTGCTGAAAATTAAAAGTCTCTTTATCTTATCATTTATTTCATTAATTATATAAAAAAAAAACAAATCAGCCAGCCCTCAAATCTTAAGTTGAACCTCATTTCAGAACACGTAAATAGATTTTGTGTGTGTATCTGGCCAAGGGAGGTAGAGCGCAGGCATGTGTCCTGGTTTCCCAGGGTCGAGGGCGGATATATTGGTTACATTATAATCCTTGGTATGCTGACGAGTGTGCTCGTTCTAGTGTGTAAATAGAATTCAGCCATGTAGTTATTAGTACATGGTCATCGTAAGATCGAGAAGAGGATGGATTGTAAAATGGTGATTCATGTCACAGCTCTTCTGTTTAATGGGTGTATGATCTTGGACATAACTGTCTTCTCTGAATTTCTGTTTCCTTACCTATTAAATAGGAATATTAATGGTGTCTACATATGATGCATTGGGCTGAGTAATTTATGTGTTATAATTAAGAGAGCCAGCGAACATAAATTACTCAGCACAGTATCTTTCATATACTAACTATTCAATTAATGTTGTTTGGGTTATTGTAGTTCTAATTACATCTGTTGAAATGCTTAGATTTGAAAAGGGACAAATAGAAAAAAAAATACACAGATTATATCTATAAAATTGCAAATGAAATTAGAAGAAAAGCCTCCCTAATAGAAAATGTTAAAATTCTTAATTCTGTTTTTTTGTTTAGAACATTACTACTAGATGGAAATCCATTCCGTGTTCCTCGAGCAGCCATATTAATGAAAGGAACAGCTGCTATTCTGGAATATTTGAGAGACCGGATTCCTACTTAAATTGGAGCTATTTTATAATCTTGGTCATGTTAATTCTTAGACTTCTTACATTGATAAATAACATTTTTCTAAGGTATTATGCATTTGTAAAGGTGATAACCACATGCAGTGTTCATGCATTTATTCTAAATGTTTTGTATAAGATTTATCTTACTTTCATTCCTTATAAGATAGCAGTTTCTTCAAAAGTGAATTTTTAAGTTAGTTTGATATTTTTATAATGATAAAACATTTTTGTAAAAGTGGGGATTTCCCCCTATTTCTGTTTGTGTTACATATTATGTGAACCATTGATTTGAATATGACCATCTAATTTCTACCTTTTTGTTAGACATAAAATTGAATTTCATTCCAAACTGTTTTTTGGTGTAAAAAAAATAAGACTTTTCCTTACTCATGATAAGACTTTTGTGATGTGATTGGTCTTGGTATAAGTTTTAAATTAACATTCACTGTCTTGTTTTTGTTTTAATCTAGTTGAAATGTTACTTGTTTAGCCTTTTCCCATTTTATGAAACCATTTTGTCAGAATTTCTAATGTAACAGAAATGCTATATGAAATGTAGTTACTGGTAGAGAAAATAGGGAAGAGTGTTAAAATTGTTCTCACAGTTTTGAATCTAAAATTTGACAAAGTTTTTTTTTTTTTTTTTTAAATGACTTCTTAGTATTAAGTTTCCATACAATGATCTAGTACTTCTGGATTCAAGAAATTTGAATTTTGAATTTGAAGGGATTGGATCTGCATATTTTTCCCTCCAAGTATGTTTGTTCTTCTTTTTAAAAGTGCTGAAGAGCTTATTTTATTAATTCAATAGATAACAGCAACAGAAAATAATAACATGTATCACATAGAAATCCTGGAAATTTCTTAAGTACTTATTACTAAGCAGGTATTTGTATACATTATCTATCTGTTGGTGTGTTCTAATCCAACCTTGTCTATCTTTTTTATTTCCAGGGCCTTACTTTTCAAATTTGCATCTTATCTTCATAAGACTAAACTTGTTAGCCATGTGGAAATTTTCTAAAAGGGAATTTGCTATAGGTTAACTTGATTTAGTAAAAATAAAATAGAAATATTTTTACTTACACCAAAAATGTCAGAGGTAAAATGTCAGAGGTCGGCTGATCAGTCATGATGAAACTCGCCATGTGATTCTATTAAGTAACCAATCAACAGAATGTATATTAATTTATATAGTTAGGTAGGTAGCTAGCTTGTTTTTGGCTCATAGAGGCATACTTATGAAGAAAAATCATTGCTAGTAAAGATAAATACATGTTCATAATAAAAATTACATTTTTCAAATATGGATTATAATATGGTTATGTTTTTGGTGTAAAAGAAACATTCTCTTTTCATACTACAACTCTGTGGCTAAGCAGTCTGCTTCAATATTAAACAAAAGACACTTTACAATAAGGTGACATTTTATTATTTATACAATAAAGAGACTTTTAGGTTATTCAAAACACGTTTTTAAATACTGAAAAAGTTGAGTACACCAAAGCCGAAAAATGGCTCTGCTATACACTGCACAGCATTATTGTAGTCCCTGTATTTTGTATCTGTACAGAAAGCATCTTCAAATGCATTCTAATCACATTGTACACCTTTACCAATTAGTGTCAATACATAAAAGAAACTGGAGAATACAGCTTGCATTTGCAAATTAACTGACAAAGTGATTAATTTCACTGATTCAGTAAATTTAAAATATAGATTCTTAGGACTCCTTTGCACATAAAATGAAGCAGCTTTCAAGGTCATTATGGTCTTATACTGCAAAAAAAAAAAAACTCCATTAAGTACATTCACAATCTATGTTAATAAGGTAGTAAATATGTCTTCATTCAGTGTTTATTTACATCAATAAGTAGTTCAACTAAAAAGTACTGTTAATTGTACATTTTTAGCACATACAAAAATGACAACTTTTTATATATAAGCTCAAAATCACAATTATCTCAAAATATTAATTACAATACAGCCATTTCAATTAAACATGTCATGATTTTTTTTTTTTTATAAAATGGTAAAATTTGTTACTAAAGTAAGCAATCTGCTTTGAGTTGGCTAGAAGTCACCCATGTAGAAAACCTTAAACGTTGAGGTGTTTCTTGCCCCCTCCCACCCGAATTTGTATACAGCCACCTAGCCTAGCAAAGAGACAGAAAAGGCCCCAATTTATAAAGATTAATAAGCCTCTTTTGCTATACTCCTGTGGCTTATTTCTTCCATAAAAGCTTTACAAGGGGAGTATCAATAAACTATGCAATGAAATGCATGCATTAATATACAATGTGTCTATGTAAAATGTTCCTGTTTACCAGTGCACATTAAAATGTTCACAAAGACCGCAAAAGAAGTCATAAAGTAGCATTTATAAAGATCTAGCAGTTGCGAACTGTGAACTTGAAAACTGCTTGACAACATAATGAAATTTCTTTGAAAACATATCCCAATTCAAGTTCTTTCTCTGGCTAAAGGAGTTCTTGTTACTTGGCCTTAAGATGTCACTGTTGTGCTGCACATATGGTAGTGAAGTCAGATTCTGAAAAAGAAGGAGTCTAGAGACTGTCTTCATCTTAGTAAAATCATGGCCCAGTGTTGCGTCACTGCATAGGAATTTTTCTTAAAGAAGAGTGAAATATTTCACTAACCGACTTACATGATCTCAAAGGGAAAATGGATAATTTGTATGTGTGTGCATATGAAAAACATTAATATAAATGGGTGGAATTAGAACTTCTTTACACAGTATCCCCCTCCCCCAAATAAGTAAGATCCGAAGCAACCGGTTGTCGAGTAGTTTAGGAATGGAAGGAAGAATCATTTTCATGGATACTTAAAATTCTAAAACCTAGTATCTAATATCCGTTTACTTACCATTCTTTACAGACCAATTACAAATCTATCACTGCTTAGAATTGCTGCTGTTAATATCTCTTCCTTGAGTATAGAGAGACCATAGTTCATATTATGGTTTACTTATGTACAACTGGGTGGGCGGGGTGCCCCTGGGTGGCTATGAAGTGGGAAAAATGCAACTACGGCATTTGCAACCTGACTTCTATAAGGTCATCTGAGATGGCCTTTGAAACTGACAATTTAGTAGATTCACCTCTGAGTTTTTAACTCGGAAAAAGTTGCTCCTTTACATGCCATTGTCCTTAAGCTTCATTTAGTCCTTTCTGTACACAGTACGAAGAGCAACTTGCCTGGATTTGAGACAGCTTACCTGCCTATCAATTATCTTTCTCTTCACTGCAAAAAGAAAACAGTAAGGCTTGTGTTTTTAAGGAGAAAAATGCAGCTGAGGATGTTAAAGGGAAATACCTAAACATCATAACGCGGTATAAAACATTTATTGCATTCCATTGACAGTAGGCGTCATCAAAGCTAAAATCACATTTCCTGGAGTAGAACTTAACATTCAGCATCACTCACTGCCCTGAACGGATGCCTTTCCCACATTCAAGACCAATAAGAGTGGAAAGACTACAGGTATGGAGTCTAAAATTCGGTTCAGCATTATACTCTGAAACTACATTAACCATCCTAAGAAGCATGGGAATTGCTTTATGTTCTATCAGCCTGAGACTTGCAACTTGGTTTTCCTGTGGACTTGCCAAAAAAAATTAGGATTTCCTGACTCAGTAAGAGATGTTCTCTGGTAGAGTGCTGGGGAAGGGGAAGAGAGAAAGATACAAAGAAACAGCCTGTGATTTCTTTTGTCCATTCACCAAATGCTTTCCTTAATCCAGCTACCACAGAAGTCAGCTGACCTGCATACCTGGGCAATATTTAACCTCATTACTTTCCCTGTGCAACACCAAGTGCACAAAGAAAGACACCTATATATGTGTCTCTCTACAGAGACACAAAACCTGAGTTGCAGTAAGTTCTTATATAAGAAAACTTTTCTTCATGTAGGAAAATAACCTTTTAAAGGGCCAAAAATACCTTTGTACAATACAATCCAGTGACTTTAAAACTTCAGTGTGCTTAAGTATCCCGTATTTTTATAAGACCCAACAAAAAAGGAATCATTTACATTTGATAATTTTCTTAGAGATACCCACGTTTTTATCTCTAACATCTATCTTCATTCCCCTGAATTCATTAGCTTTTCAAAAAGACTAAATAAAAAGCATATTCAGCATGAAGACTGTCTTTTCCTCAATACTGAGGACATAGGAGACCTGGGGTTGCTGGGCTTAAAGCTCACTGCCAAGCCACGGTGGAATCCTAGAACTCTATAAAATAAAAAACAGAATGTCAAGTAGGTCAAGATCACTTGGAAAACTATTTTGTGGGTGCAGTTGGGCCAGTCTGCAGGCTCCCTTTCTGCAGCGGGTAACTCCCAAGCCCCTTCGTCCCCCAGGCCCCGCAGCTTTCCTGCCTCTTCCCTACTGAACCTGCATGTCCCGGCTGTAGCCCCGTCGCCCACCTTCGGCCCCCAGTTACCAGGTTTCCTTGCTTCTGTCCATCCTGTCGCCTCTTGCTCGGAGCTCAGTTCCCGGGGATGGCTCCTTGGCTTCCCCTCACCTGGCGCTTGACCCCCTGGGAGGAGATCTGTGTAAATGTCCCCATTGTCCTAAAATCGGACACCGATTTAAGGCCCCATTCGAGACACACTTGTTCCCTGGGCTGTGCACATCTCTGGGGCACACGGAGGATCCTTTATGGGAAGGGGAGCGCAAGTCGCCTCCCCCGCGTGGCCTGTAAGTGGCCCTTGCCCTTAGTTACGCCGGGGCCGGCGAGTAGGAGGAAGGGGGAGCCGCGCGACCACGGGGGTTCCGTCCTGGCCTCTACCTCTACGGGTGGACACGGGTGGACACGAGGGCACTCCGGGCACCGGGAGCAGGAGGTGCAGGGGGGAGGGGCGGTGGGCCGGGCCTGGGAGGAGGGGGTGCGGGGGGGAGGGGAGGGGAGGCCGCGGGGGGGGGGGGATCGAGGATCGCGCAGCAGCTCCAAGCGGAGCCACACTTTGGGCCATAGACTCGTTACCATGGGAACCGATGCGGAAAAACGAAGGCCTGACGGGAGGCTGCGGACCCGGCGCGGAGGGAAGCGACAGGGAGTCCGTCGGCCTGACGGGCCGTCGGGGCGCCCCTCGCGAGTGCGGGGAGGCGAGGCCCAGGGCCCGGGTGCCCGCGGGCCGCGGGCGGGGGCGGGGGGCTCCGTGCGCCGCCCTCAGGCCGCCCGAGCCCCGGAAACCGTCAAGCCCGAGTCGCGGCTGTGGCTGCGCGTTCCCCTCGAGCGGCCCCTCGAGCGGCCCGGCCCGGCCCTCCCCCTCCCTCAGCGGCGCCCGAGCGGGGAGCCCGAGCCCGAGCCCGGAGGACGGAGGGCGGAGGGCGGCGCGGCCTCGGCTCTGCGGCCTTCGCGCTCGGCCCGCCCGGGACGGCGGCGGGTCGGGCCCCGCGCCACCGAGCTCCCGCAGCCCCGCACACGGGCTCGCGGCCCAGCCGTCCGGGCGGCGTCCCTCTCGCGTCCGTCGCCGTGGCTTCGCCGTCGGGGCCGCGGAGCCGGAGCCAGCCGAGGGCCTCCTCAGGGCGCGCTCAGGTCGGGCCGCGGGCGGCGTGTGCTCACCGCGGGGCCCCGCCGGGCCTGCCCCTCGGCAGGGCCTGGGCACCCACGGCCCAGGAGCGCGGCGGCGGGCCGCGTGCAGCGTCACGGGTGGGCGTCGGCCGCGTGGAGGAGGACGGGTGAGCGCCCGAGGGCGGCGCGTGCAGCGTCACGGTGAGCGGCGGGCCGCGTGGAGCATGATGGGAGAGTGTCAGGCCCTGCGGAGCGTGACGTGTGAGCGCCGGGCGGCGGCTCGGAGCGTGACGGGTGAACGTCCGAAGGTGGCGCGTGGACCGTGACGTGTGAGCGTCCGAGGGGGGCGTCGGGCCGCGCTGAGCGCAGGCAGTACGACGGCCTGAACCGTGCGCGTTCGCGCCGAAGGTCCGTCTGGCACAGAGGGGACCACGTGGGCTCCGCGCGGCAGAAAGTCCCGCTGCCTGGGCCTCCCCGTGTGAGCCCCGGGGCGCCGCGCCCCACAGCCCGTAAACACCAGTGACCGTTTGAGAGCGCGAGGAACGACGGCTTTCCGAGCCTGCCCGCGCCGCCGAGGCCCCCGGGGCCGCGCCCACCGGCTGGCCCTGCGGGACGAGCACAGGTCACGGCCTCCGCGGCGGACGGGCCTGGGGGCTCCCGTTTCCACGTCCGCCGCGCCGGGACTCCCCGCGGGGCAGCCGACCTGCCGGAACGTCCTGGGGCGTGCGCGTCCCCCGCCACTTTCGTCACGCGGTTGCGGCTCCGCTTCT